TAGATCTCTCACGCTCTCAAACACACAGCTTTATGCTGCTGTTCTGACCTTGAGTCTCTCATAGATGTAGTGCACTAAGGCAAACAGCTCTATAAAGTAATCCACTGTGACTGTGATGACGGCAGAGCCGAATGTTGCTGTGGAGAAGGTGACGAAGCAGCGTTGCCACTGAAGAGTAAGGACGGCAAACAATGTACCGGAGCCCAGAAGAATGCCCAGAGGAACCCACACTGTTTTAGGATGATAGAATTCCTCCATTACCTGAAATTGATAAAAAAAAAAAATACAGTAGATTTGCTTAGTATTCCCTGTTTTCTATGGTACCTTCTATATGCATGTTAAACCATTAGCATTACGAAAAATCCACCCTGACATGAGATTTAGAGATGTCTTTTTGTCTGGGCTTCAAACAAGGCCTTAAACTTTAATTAACTAGGCTAGCCTATCAATTTGTAATGATAAGATATATAAAATGCTAAATAATTTTCACCTTATTATAAAAACATACAAATAACAAAAATACTTGACAATGAGAGATTAATGAAGTCATTAAGTAGAAAAAAGTAGGTTGTTGATTGCTTTATAACCACTGATGCAAACCTGTAAAGTAAGAGAATTTTCTGAGAAAAAGAAAAGCTTTGAATTTAGTTTTATTATTATCAATTTGTTCTATTAATTTATTCTATTATTATTATTATCTTTTGAAATTTTGAAATTTAGTTGGATGTTAAATATTTCACTTTGATCAGCTACAGTATAAGCTGTGGCAGATCAGCCAGGAATGAAAAAAATTGCATTTTCTTCCAATTAGTCAATACACTATGACGAGCCCTTCGTATTTATTACGATTAAGCCACCAAGTCTAAAACTATCTAAAACATGTCATTTCTTTTTTTTGTTTTCTTTTGTTGCTGTGACATGTCGAGACATATCTTTGGTTTTTCAAAGAGTAAAGGGAGAGACATGCTCAACAGATAACACAAAGGCTGAGTGGAAAACAGCTTATTTGCTCTGTGATTTTGACCTAAACTTCAATCTGTAATTTGAAAACATATCTATGTTCTCTAGAGGAGTGTTTCTAAATGCCCTGGCATAAATTGGTGAATAACAGGCTTCTAAATCAAGTGATAGTATACTTAAGGGGTAATGCTATCTATCACACTGAATCAGGGACAGATTCTATAACATGAGGGACTGACTCTAGGTAACGATCACAGAAGATGGTGTTTAGATATAGTTGCTAAAGGAAATTAACATGTTAACTCTATAAAATATTTTTCTTTACTTTAAAGTATTAGTAAAACCCTGTTTCACACCAACTGCTGTCCTGCACAGCTGCATATGTTCCTAATAAGTTTTTAATGACCATTTATGGCAGGAAGACTCTGAAACTATTCTCAATGGAGTCCTTTAAATTCTGATCTGACTGATCTTATACTGAAATAGGAATTGCTCTCTAACAAGGGGAGGGATCGCCAGTTGAAACTAGATAGTAAGTTGTGCATTTTATTCTCAAATGATCCAGTGTTTTTTTTTTTTTTTTTCTTTATTGCTGTTTAATTGAAAATTAATTTCCAACATTTTTTTTTTTTTTTATTGCTGTTTAATTGAAAATTAATTTCCAACATATCATCAAGTCTACCAGCAAATACTGCCACAGCAAGTAAGGTTGCTTGGCAAAGTTTTTTCTTGACCTAAATGTGCATTCATTAGCATCTATCAACGTTTTATGCACTGAGCTTGTTTTGTTGTTTTTAATTCAGTTTTGAAGTTGTCTGCTAAATTGATGTACTTTGGTTCTACTTTTCATTTTAAATTCAAGAATTGTTTCAAAGTAATTAATGAGCAAAGGAACCTGAAAGTTCCAAATATTCAGTCTCTGTGAGAAGTTAATAAATGTAGATAAAGTAAAGACATGAAAGAAACTGTTTCAAAGGAAAGTGTATTTTGCAAAGAAGCATGTTAGCTATTCATTATGGCAACTACAACACAGTGGCTTCAGTGTAATTAAAAGGAAGTGAGTCAATTGGGTCTCTTACTATACTTTTGCAGCTTTGGTAAATTTGTACCTGACTTTTTAGGATACTATTTAGAGCCATTTTCCACAACATCTGATTTTGCAATATTTGTTTAAAAGAAAGTTAGAAAAGTTAATGCTAATCACTGACATCATAATTTTAAATTAGCCTTTCATGAAAACCCTCATTGTCAAAGATAGTAAGATGTCTCTATTCCTGGATTAACCAATCAGCAGAAAAAAATAAATAAAAAAATGAATTTGGATAAAATTGAAAAATCTTTGAAAAAAAAACGCTGCTAGAGATTGCTACATTGGTCACAAATATTTGATCAGTGCATCTCTTATAATGACAACAATAATGCTTTATCTCAATGTATTTTAAATGTCCCTGAAAAGTAAAAAAAAAAGAAAAAAGGAAAGGAATTACCACAAGTGATGCAACGCCAACCAGCAGGCCCAGCAGCAGGCCTACCATAAACAGACCCACACTGCGGACCAACATGGTTACCAAGCCACACAGTGTCCCAATGCCCAGGCCAATGCCGACAGACGCCTCTACGCTCAGCTGAGTGTCCATTACCCTCTCCTTGTAGCACAGCATGAAGATGACCACAGAGCCAAACATCAGGCCAGTTAGAAACAACACTGCCTTAAAGCATCGATAGCCTAAAGGGAAAAAACAGAACACTGTCAGTTTGTGAGGCAAACACATAAATTAGATGCTTAGCAAATATATGAGTGCAAACACTAGCTAATATATTTTATTCATCACATTGAGCTTGCAAATGTTCAATGATTTATTGTGATTAGTGTTGCATAAAATGAACTGAGGCTTAATTCATCAAGACTATTATGCTTTGTTATAAACTGTGTAAAGACTAATGAACAATAAGGAAAGTAATAGACTTCTTATTAATATCATCAACAAAGCAATACATCTTTCAATAGTCTAATCAATAATCAGGTTTTACAACATTTAGATATATTACCTTTTTGTTTGAAATCAGATTTTTTTTTTAAAGTGACAGGACATCAACACAGGATTTAGAAAAAATCCATTCTATCCAATCCATTCCCATTACTGTTTTACTTAAAACATGCTTTTAAGATGAGCAACTCTTTTAAACATTTAGGGTTTGCTTGATTTGAAAATGTATTCTTATTATCCAACTGTGCAAGTCCATTTCCTTCGCTTGGCAATACAATTGATTGCTGCGTACTTTACAGATTAAAATTAGGTAGAGAGATTGCACCAGAATAGATCAAATATAACTGAAAGACTGCGTAGTTCTTTGTAAATAAAAAGAAATGTGCTCTCCCAACTCTCTAAATCTTACAAAAGAGCTATTTTATTAATATTGCTAAATTCATCAGTAAAGAGGAGTAATGGAAACATTGGCTATTATCCTAATTTTATGTTTCAAAATGTGTTCCTGTCTGTTTTTTTATGACTTTTTCCAAATGAAACCATAGAAAGTCTTTCCAAATCATTAAAAGCTGAGCTTCTCAGTTATTTCAATCTTCTCTGGCTTCAAAATCATTATTATTCCTTTCTAAATCTTTTTCTATCTCAGATTGGTCTCAGTCTCTAGGGTGCCCGACCTCAGAATATTATTTTTGTTTAATCAGGCAGTGAACCACTGAGCAACACAATACACTTTCTCTTATATAACCCATGTCCAAGCCTTGTTCCTGTGACCAGAGCTCATTTAATTGAATGGATTCTCAAAGCATTTTTAGTCCTGGTATACAGTTCTCTGCGGGTTTTCTGATTTCTTTTATCTCCAATGTTTGCTGATGATGCTGTAGCTTTTTACAGTTGTTTGCATTTAAGCTACATTATGCCTGAACATACACAAGTCATAACTGAAACTTCTACGGACATTTTGATTACTGCTGTAGCTGTTAAATAATTAATATCTCATGATTTCTGTCAATCAATAAATGAATTTTCTGTAATATGTCACCTCCTATTTCCTGCTAATGTTTTAGTGACTCATCCTTTCCTCTCAGTCGTTTATCCCCCCAACTGTTCCACTACCTCTCTTCTTCTCTGCTCATCCTTCCGTCTTTATCTTTTGCTCTGTTCTTTTCTCTACCTCAAGCCATCAGCCAATCCCATCTGTTCATCCTCACTTAATCAGCTCATGTCCTCCCTCATGTTATCTCCCTTTTGCTTTTCTTTATCAGTCTCATTTCGGCAACCTCACTCCTGATTTGCACCATAAAAGCTTCTGGATAAAATCAACCAATACAACCAATTTTTTTTCTTCAATTAGGTTTGGATCATCACCAATTTCTTCATTGAGACAAGCTATTTATCAATTGATTGACAATACGTTCTCCAACATTTTATTAACAATGGATTTGTATGACTGGATCTCAGTGCAGAGTTTGGTACATTCATAGATAATCTATATAACATGGGGTTACTCAAAGCATTCTTTTCACAATCAATTCGCTACAAGTACAGCTTGGTGCGAAAATGTGTTTAAGCAAGGCTAATTTTTCAGATGAAATGTACCTTTTAAAAATAACTTCATATAAGCAGGACTTGAATACTTTTCATTAGCCAAAACTTTAGTATTAAACAATTTATTTTTATTACCCAGATTAAGTATTGTAATCTTAGAAACTAAATGTATTTTTCCTAGCTGTAGGCAGAGAATCATCATCATTAACAGAAAGAAAGGCTTTAAAATATCAGCTTGTGGGTATTTGACCAATAAGAATTTAAATTATGGAGCAAACTTAGTGAAATACACTAATGTTTACTTTATATATAATTTTGACCCAATTCTATATTTAAGCATTAACATATGACCACAATCCATTATGGTCACTAAGCCATCCTGTGTTTTTATTCAATAAGTAGGTTGTTCAGAATTTCAGTATCTCCAGCAGAACCTTGGGTGTTTCTAGACGGGGGGCCAACAGGGGCCAGTGCCCATGACCCTGGCCTTGTTATGGCCCCTGTACCGAAAACATGACACAAAATAAATGAATGAATGATAAATAGAATATGATTGTCATGGTTTTGGTTCTGTTTAGTTTTCTTTTTGAGTTTTCATTGGTTTAATTTTCATGTTGTGTCTTTCTAGTTGTTTCTTGGTTATATTTCTAATGTTGTTTACCCTCTGTTGCCCCCTTGTTTCAGTCTCTTTCCTCTAGCTCCCTTCTGTATGCTTCCATCCACGCCTGCTACTTGTCAGCTCATTAGCCCAGTCTTTGTTCAGTCTCCCATTTATACTCCTCTTGTGCAGTGTCTCAGTGCTGGTTGCTCATCTTTTCTTTGCTCCTCATGTGAGTTTTCCATGACGTCTCCTGGTTTTTTGGTTTTCTGTTTTGTTTTGGTTTTTGAACTTGCTTCTGTTGCCTTTTGGATCTACATTAAATGTGCAAGAAACCACCACAACTTCCGTCTTTGCATTTGGGTCCACACAACCTGAAAATGAAAACAGCAACTGATACAGTAGGTCCCTTGGACCCATCAATTTTTTTGTTTTTTATGGTTTTATTGTATTGATGATTTGAAAATAAAGTTGTTGCCCTTTTTCTCATGATCTGGCCTGTTTGCTCTCCCTTAATTGGTTATTTCTTTCACCTGTCGTTTACCCTCCCTGCCTCAACTATCATTTATTCCTCTCACCTGTTTCCTTTGGTTTATATTCTGTTCTGCCTGAGCATTCGGGGCCAGATCATTATTTGTCTTTCTATTAGCCTGTTTGTTTTGTTGATTGCAAGGTTCTTGTCCTGGATCCTGGTGGCTAGTGGAAAGAGGGTTTTTCGGTCTGTCTCGTCTCCTGCTTGTCCACTGTTCCTCCCCTGCTGAGTCCTCAAGGTTTTTGGCTCTATACGCGGGGAGGTTCAGTTTTTATCCAAGTAAGCCTTGCTCCAAGGAGGAGACCAGTTTAAAGGTCCTGCATCAAGTTCCACGTCCTGTCTCTGCTACCCTCTTCCACTGAGCCTCCCCGTCTGCATCTGCTCCTGTCTGCTCCTGTGCGTGACCGCCTGGTAACGCTTCCGGACTCTGTTGGAGTCTGAACCTTTCTGGGAGCTCTACGAGTCCTGGAAGCCTGGTTCTGTCTGTTCCTGTCTGTTCTGCATCCCTGACCAGGATCGGCCTCCAGCTTGACCTCTGGGACTGCAGCACTGGGGGACACTCTTGGACTGGACTTTTAAACCAGGTAATTGACCAACTCAGATAATCATCTTCTGTCAGATGATCGTGGTCACTTACCTGTGTTTCTCCCACTAACAGAGTGTCTGAGATTGGGCGGTGCCCCGCCTCCCACCTGCAGTTGCCGTGTGCCACAGATCCTAGCAGCTCCCCTTTTAGTTTTGTTTTTCATTAAATACATGTTTTGAACTTGCCCACTGACTGTCTCCTTGAATACTGGGTCCATCTGTCCTTGTTTCATGACACTTTTAGCATCTGTCATTTTCAAATAGGATCACAGTTTTCTGCTAGATGGCAAAATTGCTCTTTGTTTCAGAAAATATTTAAAACAATGAAATGTTTCCCTGTTTTTGTTTAGGTATTTTGTTCAGTGCCCCCAGGAAAAAACACCTGGCCCTCCTGGGAAATTTGATCTAGAACCACCACTAGAATGAGAGGTAACTATTTTTGTTTCAAAAAGTTAAAAGTAAGAGAAGGAAAAATAGCTTTACCTGTAATATTTACCTACTTTAACTCAGTGAGCGGTGATTTGAGAATAAATAATTCAGCTTGTGTTGCTATACCTAAAAATAATAAAAGAAACATGTTTTGTGGAAGAAGCACTTTGTTTACCCTATTTTTGTAATGTTTTATATTTTTTTCATATTTTTGAGGTCAGGAATAGGAATCTCCAAGATTACATCATTTTGATTTGATTTTTAGCAAAAAGAAAATATTTGAAGGTAGCTGTGAAAACAGATCAGTTTGTCAGAGTGAGTCCAGGTATTCAGTGAGACAGAATCACCAGGGGGGCTGTACTTTCAGAGGACTAAATACCTTGTTGTTCACCTAAACAACAAACTGGGCGGAAGCTACAACCATAAAGACCTCTAGAAGAAGGAATTAAACAGACTGGACCTCTAGAGGAAGCTTAAGGGCTGGTTATACTCTTGCAGCAGTGTCTCGCAGTGAGCTTGTTGCAGATATTTTTGATTTATGCTCAATATTGAAGCGTAGTCTGCACAATGTTATTCCACGCCAGAACGCAAGAGCGACAATCATGACCTAGCTGTGGGTCTATATATGGCCAAGGCGGTGAGGAAGTGGGGGCAAATTTAGGCGACAAAGGAGAGACATGAGGGCGAAAAAGAGCGGGGATCCAGGTGGAAAAAGGGTCCCAGTGTTCACACGCAGTTTGCTCTTCTAGCTGGTCCAACATCATGAGTCGTTTTTCACAATGGAGGTCATATAAACAAAAAAGCCGGTAAGGTACCAAACAGGAAATACACATTGGGCCGGATCTATCAAAGGTTTGCGTGTATAAAAACGTGAGCTATTTCACTGCGCACGCTAAAAAATGTACAAACTGATCTATCAACAGCGTGCTAAAAGGATTTGGTCTTTAAAACGTGCTAAATAGCGCCTCTTATCCATTTAGTACTTTTTCTGCAATGAATATGCAATATTGGACGTTTACACGCAAAAGTGCGTCTTGTGGGAGGCGAACACGTAAATATATTAATTTAGCACTCGCACAG